GGTATTTTGCTTGTAATGGGGTTATTAAAGCCCATCATTAACAATACTTTCCCCCCCACTCCGAGAGGTTAAAGTGATACTAAATTTTTTTACATTTTTTTGTATGTATTTGCATGGTAATTAAATAAAGCAATAAAACATTTATTTATCATGGCCCATAAATAGACGACTTCCGTGGGACAGTGTTGGACACGTTACTTGGTGTAAATGAGGTAAGGGCTTTGATTCCCGGTCAGGCCAATTTAACAAATAAAACTTTTCTGAATTGACTCGAATTTTGGGTGTTCTGGGTTGTGCTTCTAGATTTTCCCTGCAGGAGATTTGCAGTCCGCATTACTAACAATCCCTCCCCCCTTCTTGCGTGAGTAAGGTTTTTTTGATGGATGATAATGGAATGGTAACCCCGTCTGCGCTATGGCTATACACTGGTGGGGCACCAGTGACAGATGAGCGGTCAGGATGAAAAGGCAGACCAGTTAGCCCATCGTAACGACTTCAATGACAGATTAATCACAATGGTTTCCAGGGGAAACCGCGTGGAGGTCGACCCGATAGCATATACTGATAGCAATAGGGATTAACCTCCCCATTACTAACAATTCCTTCCCCCCCGAGAGTAAGGTTATCATAATGTACATTTATTACTAAGTAGGTTTATTCTATGCCGGGACCACACGGCTACCGGGACAACACGGTTAATTGGGGGAAATTGTTTGTTAGTAATGCGAACTACCAGTCCCATTGCTAGAAATATACCCTATCAGGTCGACCTCCACGTGGTTTCCCCTGGAAACAATCGTGCTGTATTCATCATATCGAGATGTATTCATCAAGATAGGCTAACTGACCTGTTTTTTCATCCTCACTTATCAACCCTCACTGGTGCCCCGCCAGCGTATACCGATAACACAGGCGGGGTTACCATTCCATTATCATCCTCTCCATCCAAAGGTTGCCTGGAAGAGGTCGCTCTTAGCGATAAGGTCGCCCATTGGTTTCTCATTGTGATTATTTCTTGTAATTACTTATATTTATAATAAGTTTACTATTGTAATCTTTTGGAGGAAACAATAAAGAGTATCCATCTATCTATCTATTTATCATCCGTTAAAAAACACGGTTAAATAATAATAATAATAAACACAAATATAGATCCTGTTTTGTTACTAATATGCAAAATGTAGTTACAATGTTTAAGGGTTTTTATTCACTCTCTGAAGTTTTAAAAGCTCGACTTTGTTTTATACACTGCATTATAAAGGTGCACCTTTATTGTTACGCCGGTGGCGCGCTCTAACGAGAAACACTAAAAATAAGGATTTTTCACATGGGAAATGTGTTTTCATTATAGTCCCAGGGCCTGGGTGAAAAAAATAATATATATATTCATATTTCTATACCTGGGGCCTGTCTGCTGGATATTGAGTTTAAAATTAGTTATTCTGAGAGAGAAAAAGAGAGAGTGTTTTTTAAATGGGTGAAAATGAAATGGTAACCCCGCCTGCGCTACGCTGGCGGGGCACCAGTGAAGGATGATATGTGAGGATGAAGCAGGTCAGTTAGCCCATCGTGACGAATTCAACAAGAATTGTTCACGATGGTTTCCAGGGGGGACCCACGTGGAGGTCGACCTAATAGGGTATATTGCTAGCAATGGGGCCGTCAAACTCCATTGCATAACAATAATTTCCCCCCCTACGGAGTGGAAGTTAGGGAAATGATCTTCAAGCCCGTTTATAAACTTTCGCATTTATTTTATTACGTCCTGGATGATTCGACAAGTATTATGTTGCTCAAATTTTTTTTCTCTCCCCCCAAAGATCTTCATCGGTCTATTACGTATATTTGAAGTAAAGTATATAATCCAATTTGGTTCAGCCGTTTTCTAGAAGCGCTTAGCAATAAATAGCATTTAAGTTTTTTTTGTTACCCTGAAGGTGGTAAACGAGCATACAGCCCGTCAGATAGTCAACGATCATTATAGCCACAGATAATATAATACTATAGTCTATGGTCACCTGCAACACTAGTAGTGTCACGTGAACGTTGCTGCTTTGTGTAGATTTGTCGTCAATATAGACGTATACGTAATATATTAGAAATTTGTTTCATAAATTTCTTTTTATTATTATTTCAACCATTAACTGTCCATTGCTGAACATACGCCTTCCCCATAAGGGGAGTTTTACCAGTAGTTGCCACTTTTAGCAGGCGGGTTGGCAACCGCAGGTAATCTTTCAGAGATGTTTTAAGAGGGGCGCTGCTGCCCATCTCTCGCCATCCTAAGTCGTCTCTTACGACACCAATGGGAAAGGAAGGGATGGCTTATTCTATGCCAGGACTACACGGCGATAAATTTCTTAAATTTTATAAAATCTGTTGCTACGCATGACCGGGATATGTTTACTAACCAGGACAATAAGTAGCTTAGATACTTATCCATCCTTTAGCATCCTTAAGCGCTAAGAGGTAATAAACAAACATACTCACGAACACATTAATACTGGGGGGAAAAGGATTGTTAGCAATGGAGTTTGACAGCCCCATTGCTAGCAATATACCTTATTAGGTCGCCCTCCACGTGGTTCCCCCTGGAAACCATCGTGAACAATTCTTGTTGAATTCGTCACGGTGGGCTAACTGACCTACTTCATCCTCATCTATCATTCTTCACTGGTGCCCCGCCGGTGTATACCGCTATACCGGTGTATACCATTATAATCTATTTAAAAAAAAACTCATTAATACTACTAGTAAGGAATATGCACATCTCTCTGTCCCCTGGCCTATATTTCAGTAAAAGTAACAGTACAATAACAAGTTTATGAGGCTTTTTAAAATGCTTGAAATGGCTCCCATGGCTTCCACCTTCCCTGTTTACTTAGGGTTGCCACCATTAATAATAATACACTAGTTCAATAAGACGTTTATGTGTTTATATAATGCTCTGAATCTATCGATAGTATATATGTGTATTAATAGTGGGTATTATGTACTAATATCTATATATTGGGGGGGGAATCCAGGCAGGCAAATTGGCAACTGCAGCCAATTTTTAGAGATGTTCTAAGAGGGACGCTGCTGCCCATCCATCGCTCTCCCGTAGTCGCCTCTTACGACACCCACGGGAAGGGTATGGTGTATATTCTATGCTGGGATCACATGGGAACAAACCATATGGTTTTAACCATAAGGTTTTTTTAAATGTGAGAATTAAAACAGGTCAGTTGACTTATCGTGACGAATTCATCAAGAATTAACCACAATGGTTTCCAGAGAGAGTAGTGTGGACGTCGACCTGACCTAATATACCCTGTATTTCTAGCAGTGGGGTCTCTAGTCCCCGTTACTAATAATCTCTCCCCCCCCCCCCTCTATTGGAGGTAACTACTTGAATACCGACATCTATAATATCATTCGACGTCGTAAAAGTGTTGTAAAATTTACGTCCCGGAAAATCCCGGTGTCCGTTATTGAATAGGCGTAAAATAATGTTTTATGCGTTTTATTATCTACTGCAGCGTCCGCCTATATCCTTTTTTTATTTTTATCTTTTATGTTTTGAGCAATAATAATATCTCTTTACTTATTTATTTGTACTTTTGCACCAGGAACATACAAATAAACAATGACATATAAACAATTCAAATGAAATATAGAAGTGTTGAAAATTGCGACTAAAGTATTATATATTTATAAGGACGACTGCATAAATAAAATATATATTTATACATACATATTATATGTTTTCAACATCCTTTTTTATTTTTTTTATACAACTTAGAATGGCAAACAAGCTGACGGCCCACCTGATGGAAAGTGGTAACCGTCGCCTAAAGACATGAGCAGTACAATGGACATAACAGAGTATACTGTTTCGTCCATGATACCCCTCATGCGTTGCCATTCCTGAGGACTCAGGTCAAGTCAGTGCGTATTCAACCTCCACTTCTTTCACTCGCCCCCTGTCTCGCATATTTAATAGAAACATATTCATAAACTGTAAGTACAATCCAATTCTTTTAATATTTTAATATTTTTTTTAAATAATTTATGTCTCGTCGTGGACACAATGGAATTTATTTTAGAATAAACTCTCTGATAGTACTTGATAAGTGCGTTTAATTTAATATAAATATTAACAGTAATGTTCTAGCTGGCGTTACAACTGTCCAAGTAAAAACAAGATGGCACGGTACTAGAAACACAAAAGTGGACGGTAGAATAATAATAAAAAAGAAGCGCCTGCTCGAACAGGCCGAGCACGTAAATTGCAAAGTTGCCATTAACATTTTATATATTTTATTTTCTTATAATTTATATTTTATTTTTATACTACTTTGATCGCAAACAAGTATAAGGCCCGTTTGTCGGTAAACAGACTTATCGTAGCCTAGTACTGCCTTTGTGTATTTTAAGTAGACATAAACAAATGCGTTTGTCACATGTCGCCGGAACTAATCGCATCATAATTGCTAATTATGGTTGTCAACAGAGAAGTAAATTTTTTTTTTCCATAAATCTTTATTATTGTGTATGATTGTCATCAAAATCATCATCACCGAACATAGGCCTCCTCTATAAACAGCTGTAAGGAACGGCCTTAAATACCTGTATCCATCCACTGATTCCCTGCAACGCATTTGAGGTCGTCACTCTGTCTATTAGTAGGTCGTTCTAGATCAGTGTTTCCCAACCTTTTTGTGCCACGCCCCACTTGAACATTTCTAAAATTTTTATGTCCCCATACATAATTTTACCCGATAAAGTTTACTTGACTACTCTAATCGCCCAGTTGATATTTTGGTAATTTCAAACTAAATTATACCTAATAAATATTTACAGCATTTTTTAATTTACTGTTTTGTTAAATTTGGCACCGATATCTACTCGTAGCATCGCATTTAAATGGGCCGCAGCAAAAGGGTTAAAATCGCTTTGAGTCAATTTTTTAATTGCCTCCCCATAACTATCGAATTGCCCCCCTGTGGGGCGTGGGCCCTACGTTGGGGAACACCATTCTAGACTATCTTTTTTTATAAAAAAAAAGAATGGTAACCCCGCTTAGGTTAAAAATTTAACCCTTTTATTTATAAGATGTCAAACGTTTCATAAACTTAGTAATTGAGAAGAGTAGAGAAGAGTAAGTAGAGTAGAGAGAAGAGTCTTTAATGATTTATGACAGCCCTAAGCCCCTGAACAGATTTGCCAATGTCGCCATGAAATAGTTCGGAGATAACTTTAACGTGATTACGAGTACATTTGTTATTTCTATCATTGAAATGAATGATTTCGAACGATGATTATGTATTTAATTGTGATATTCTTATTGGGAGCAACAGCCCAACGGTACCCTAGTTTTTTCGATAATGATGATTTGAAGGTATTTTTTGTTATTTTAAATCTAATCTAATCTCTTTCATAATTTTGTAGTCATTAGATTTTACGATAAGAATACGTTCTCTGAGGGGGAGAAAAGAAACCTACATAAGGATGTTTGGAAAAGGTTTCATCCCACATAGTACATAGTATTATATTTAATTTCTGTTTAGCACCACTACTGCCCACTCACTACTTCCTATGCCACTGTTTTAGAGATAAGTTCGCCTTTGCTAACATTGTTATTCACTTATTGTTGTTACTGTATGTTTTAGTGCATATATATATATATATATATATATATATATATAGGCTTTTACAGATGTTTTGAGAGATACGCTACTGCTCACCCCTCTATCATTAAGTTCCCTTGGTTCATTATATATTTGATTCTTTCTGGTGCAATAAAGAGTAAAATAAATAAATTACTTATATTTCGAAGCTAGTCAAATTGACATTGTTTAAGTCCTATTGTCAGGTTTTTTACACCAGCCAATTATGGTATAGTTGTACGAAGAGAGCTTATAACACACTGCGTGTGCAATACAATAACGCATTCCGAGCGATGCTCGACTTGTATTGCGTCTGGCATGTTTGCAGAGAACAGGGTTAATGATTTTTTTGCTATTTTACGTAATTATAAGGCAAAATTTCATCAAAGATTAATGACAATAAGTAATCATATTGTAAAGACTGTATTCCTCACTGCATACCTGACGACAAGAGATTTTATAATGAAATAATTTAAATTTGTATTTTGTTACTAATGTTTAAAAATAATAATAATAGTTTGTATAATTAATATTTGGACATGTTTTTTTATAGGAAATGGGTTTCATGAGTCATGCTCGCAATCCAAATCCAATTGTTCATCAGCACAAAGAACCGCACCCAACCACTATCAGTCGGGTAAGTAAGAAAGCAAGGCTTTTTATGGATGATAATAAAATAGTGAAACTGCCTGCGCTATCGGTATTTGCTGGCGAGGTACCAGAGAGAGATGATAGGTAGGGACAAAATCAACTACAGTGAGGTTTTTTTTGATGGGTGAAAATGGAATGGCAACCCTGCCTGCGCTAACGGGATACGCTGGTGGGGCACCAGTGAAGGGTGATAGATGAGAATGAAAACAGGCCAGTTGGCCCATCATGATGAATTCATTAGGAATTAACCATGATAGTTTCTAGGGGGAACCAAGAGGAGGGAGACCTGGTTGGGTATATTGCTAGCAATGGGATTTTTAGTCTCTATTACTAACAATCCCTTTCCCCCCACTAGAATTAGGTTAGAAGATAGGAAGTTACTGTATTGTACTGAGTAGCAGTAATCTATACTAATAATATTAAACTAAATTGGTCGTGTGGTCCCCGCATAGAATAGGCCACCCCTTCCTTTCCCGTAAAAGTCGTAAGAGGCGACTAAGAGAGGGCGAGGAATGGGCGACAGCATCCTTTTTAAACATCTCTAAAGTCTAACTGCGGTTGCGAATCCGCTTGCCAAGCGTGGCAATTATTGGCAAAACCCCCCCAGAGTGATATAATAAGTCATATCAGACATTAACTGTCCACTGCTGAACATAAGCCTTTCCCAAAATGGGTTTTTAAAACTATTTAACCAATTAAAATAATTCTTTCACCTATAGTAAGTTAGTAATATAGGTTATATATTATTTTCTATTTACCTGTGCGAAGTCGGGGCAGACCGCTAGTATTTTTTTTTAATGGTTGATAATGGTATGGTGACCCCGTCTGCGCTATCGGTATATACTGGCGGCGCACCAGTGAGAGATGACAGATGAAGATGAAAGTAGGTCAGTTAGCCTATCCTGATGAATTAAACTAGAATTAGTCACGAAGGTTTCCAGGGGGAACCACGTGGAGGTCGACCTGACAGGGTATATTGCTAGTAATAGGGTTATTTGACTCCATTAGTAATAATCCCTTTGCCCCCGACCGCTAGTATTAGATTAATACATATATTTGTTTCAGATAAATCCACAGAGGCCTTCAGAAGATGTAGAGTTCCGTCCCCCTGTAAGTTTTAATTTTATTACAAAAATAGTCAACGAATGAATGAATGAATGAAAACTTTTGAATGAATGAAAAATGTATCCAAACGAATATTTTGTTTGTTTGAACATAATGTGTTCAATCTAAGTGAATACTTAACTACATTAATTTAATTACATAAAAGTAAGATAAAGAGCCAAACAAGTATTTTAAATTGACTACCCTTCTGCAGATTACAGTCGTGAGCATAGACGTATACAGTACTTGCTTATGGTCGTTAGAGTCATAATAAAATTATATTTCTAAGATTAATAAAACAAAATAAGCTAGTTAAATTGTTTTTTTTTTTAATATTATTTGACATGGATAAAGAATAGTTTTATTTTCTTTGTCTACGTTCTAGTAAATACCTATTTTTTAACGCCCGAAGCAAAAAGAGGGGTGTTTTTCTTTTGATGGGTGAAAATGGTATGGTAACCCCGCCTGCGGTAACGGGATACGCTGGCGGAGCACCAGTGAAGGGTGATAGATGAGAATGAAAACAGGTCAGTTAGCCCATCATGATGAATTCACCAGGAATTAACCATGATAGTTTCCAGGGAGAACCGCGAGGAGGTTGACCTGGTTGGGTATATTGCTAGCAATGGGATTCTCACTCTCCATTACTAACAATCCCTTTTCCCCCGAAAGAGGGGTGTTATAAGTTTGACATGTCTGTGTGTATGTATGTCTGTGAAATGGTTTTTAGCTACAATTGATGAAAATCTGTTTAGGTGTTTCGAGGTTTACTTCAAATTTTTAATCTTATTTACCGTATTTTGAAACGGTTATTTTTTAAAATAACAAGTGAAGCGGGCTTATCGCAAGTATAAATGTATAGAATATTATCAACGCCATCTAGTGTTTAAACGTTGAACTTATAACAAACACATTATTGTTCCTGGCTCTTAATAACTTTAAGTACTACTATTATTAAACAATTAAAAAATATAATTACAGCCAAGAAATCATAAAATTAAGCTTGCGGTAAGTTGTTTACAGTTATTTATGGCAATTTTTATGGGATATAAATAAATAGCTTACCTGATGGAATGAAGTTCTTCTCTCAATGGGTGGCCACAGTACGTCTTACTAACGACTTACGTTACGCTCGAAGAAAAACAGTTATTTCTGTTTTGCTTAGAAAGAAAATGGAATTATGATCCCGCCTGTGTTATTAGTAGGAACTGGCGTGGAACCAGTGAGGGGTCATAGGTGAGGATGAGAACACATCGTCGATTAACCATCGTGATATATTCACCTAGAATTAAACAGTGGTATCCAAGGTCTTGGCCGAGTGGTCCCGGCATAGAATAGGCCACCCCTTTCTTTCTCGTGAGTGTCGTAAGAGTCGATTTAGGGAAGGGAAAGGATGGGCAGCAGCGTCCCTTTTAATGTATCTCTAAAGGCTAACTGCGGTTCTTCCTGGAAACTATCATGGTTAATTCCTGATGAATTCATCATGACGGGCTAACTGGCCTGTTTTCATTCTCATCTATCACCCTTTACTGGTGCTCCGCCAGCGTATCCCGTTAGCGCAGGTGGGGTTACCATATCATTTTCACCCAACAAAAAAAAACTGCGGTTGCCAATCCGCCTGCCAAGTGTGGCAACTACTGGCATAACCCCGCAAGGGGGAGGCTTATGTTCAGCAGTGGACAGTTAAAGGCTGATATGATGATAATGATCTAAGGACCGTGACCTAACAGGGTATGTTGCTAGCTATTGGGACCTTTGACTCCATTAGTAACAATCCTAGATTTATTTATTCATAGGAAAGCCAGGGCTACACTAGAGCAAATAGATACAGTTTAAGATCACAAACCAAGCCACTAATAGGTTTTCACAACTAGCAACAATATAGATACAAGGCACTGTACACAAAGAAACAAAAATAGGAGTTAACAAAAAAAGTGAAGTTAAATAAAAGCTTGTAAAAAAAATGAACAAACAAGAACGAAAACAAAAAAAAAATGAATAAAAAGATGATGAATAGTTTCTTTAAAATAGATAAAAATTGAATAGTAACCCTGCGCCTGCGCTATCGGTATACACTGGCGGGGCACCAGTAATGGGTGATATGTGAAGATGAAGTAAGACCAATTAGCCTAGCGTGATGGTAATACTACAGGGATTAATCACGATGGTTTCCAGGGGGGACGGTATGGAGGTCGACCTGACTGGGTATATTACTAATAATGGGACAACTAGGTCTCATTACTAACATCTCTTCCTTCCTGTAATCTCAGGCTACATACCTATAATCTTATTTCTTTAGTGTAAATTACTTATTTCATTATTTTAGCAACGTGGTGAACAAAATGATGATGACATTATCACCCAAGTCGTGAGTCCTTTTATATTACTGCTAGCTACTCGTATTTCCCGTGGTCTCGCTGGTGGTTGTATCGTCGAAAAATCTATCACATTCTTTAAAAAAGTGAGCTACCATAATGCAAGAAATAATTTTTAAAATCCAACTGACATAATATAGCATAGAGTTTTTTTTTATACAACTTAGAATGGCAAACAAGCCGACGGCCCACCTGATGGAAAGTGGTAACCGTCGCCTATAGACATGAGCAGTACCACGGACATAACAGAGTATACCGTTTTGCCCATGATAACCCCCATGCGTTGCCATTCCTGAGGACTCAGGTGTTATTCCTCTGTACCCAGTAAATTCACGCCATATCCCACCCTTCAAACCGAAACACAGCCATGCAAACACAACTGCTTCACGGTAGAAACACGAATGGGACAGAGGTACCCAAGCTTACTTTTACTTTTGTACAAAGTCTCCCTCTGGTCAGTTTTTATAATGGATGAAAATAATATGATAAGCCCTTGCTCTATGCATGCAGTGAAGGATGAATGAGGATGAAGTCGGATCCGTTGGCCTTTTGTAGAGAGTTGAATTCATATAGAAGCTGTTATTTTTTTTATTCATTTTTAATGTACCTACGTAAAAAAAAAAATTATATTTTTTTAGTATTGCAATAAGTCTGTCTCTTTTTTTTTTAAGTGTAACGTACATTATTATTATTTTTTATTTATGGTAAATTATAACTAGATCAATATTGTGTCATAGGGGGGAAAGGGATTGCTAGCAATGGAGGTTGACAGCCCCATTGCTAGCAATATGCCTTATTAGGTCGACCTCCACGTGGTTCCCCCTGGAAACCATAGTGAACAATTCTTGTTGAATTCGTCACGATGGGCTAACTGACCTACTTCATCCTCACCTATCATCCTTCACTGGTGCTCCGCCGGTGAATACCGATAGCGCGGGCGGGGTTACCATTCCATTATCATCCATTAAAAAAAATATTGTGTCATCAGTGTTGCCAGGATAAAAAATATATTTTATTTACTCATTTTTTAGCAACAAGCTTACGCACACGGTCAAGAATACGGAGGGCCTGTTGGAAATGTAGAAAACAGCGTGTTAGATGAATATGTGAGATTTTATTGTTAAAAGTTATATTATACTTTATTGTAATAATTACCAGTTACATGTAATTTGGCCGAAAAGTTCGACCAGTTTCGAAACCATTCAGAATCCTTAGTGTTGAGCGGCTCAGACTCGTGCTCGAGCCTGAATGCGCATCGGCCTGTTGAGCGTGATTTATTTATACAGCCGTTTATACCCGAAGATCTCCGAACGCCATCTTTCTCGATCAAATTACACGAAAGTTAATCCGTTGGCTATTACATTTAAATATAATATTTAATTACGTCAGGCAGGCGGCCGGTCGTAAAACTGTAAGCCAAATCTTTTTGTAATATGGATAAAAACATATTACGCCGACCCCAAAAAATAATTGGGATAAGGGTAGGGAGATGATGACATGAGATATTTAATATTTCTATTTTACCACAGTAATAGTAATACCGTAACAGTGTGGTCCCGGCATAGAATAGACCACCCCTTCATTTACCATAGGAGTCGTAAGAGGCGACTACGGGAGGGCGAAGCGTGGGCAGCCGCGTCCCTCTTAAAACATCTCCAAAGCCTAACTGGAATTAAACAGTGGTATCCAAGATCTTGGCCGAGTGGTCCCGGCATAGAATAGGCCACCCCTTTCTTTCCCAAGCTTGTCGTAAGGGTCTATTTAGGGAAGGGGAAGGATAGGCAGCAGCGTCCCTCTTAAAACATATCTAAAGCCTAACTGCGGTTGCCAATCCGCTTGCCAAGCGTAGTAACTACTGGCAAAATTCCCCAAGAGGAAGGCTTATGTTCAGCAGTGGACAGTTAAAGGCTGATATGATGATGATGATGATGATGATGAATAGTAATACCAATTTATTTATATTCCAATGATTTCTTTTAACACGTTCATAAGATGCCAATTTATTTGGTTTTATCTTGGCCTGGCATTTCGTTTTACTAAATAAAAAAAATACACTCTGATATTCTTTTTTTAAATATTTTTTCTTAATACTGGGAATGGTCATAGACATTGGTTAAGGATAGTATCTACTTAAAACTTGGTCCTCTTTCTACGATCATAGAGTTTTTACTGATAGTGATCAGCCTTAAACTTACTAGAAAGAGTAAACATATGGGAAATCTAAGTCTTATGTGAGTTACCAAATGTTGGTATTCACACGCATTTAATAATATAAAATAATACTCATCAGACAGTAATATTTATTTTACATTTAAAACATTGAAGCGGTTATTGTTTTGCAAAAGTTTATATAAGCTATTGAAGTGATGGTATTTTTAGTTTCGTCACCATTAGTATTCTATGATCATTCGCTTTTCAAGTTTTAAGCGAAAACAAAGCTTTCTAGGAAGCGGGGCCGGTAGCATTGCCCTCTGCGGGGGAATTGAAATCAGATTAATCTGAAGTTTCTTTTATTGTTTAAGAAATACCCTGTTCATTATTTAACTTTAATAAAGTCTGAAAGATTAAAAATAAGGTATATTAGTGGTATTAGGTATAAAGGTCGAGTTCATGCTCATGTCATGTAACATGTTGCATGTTTGAGCATGAACTTAGTTGAGTCTGTCTTTTTTAAGGTTTGAGATATGTATTTATTTAATTATTCCGTTCTCGCTATTTGATAGGAGCGAGAGAGAGATGAGAGAGATAGAGTTGAGGTGAACGTGTTGTTTCGTTTGGGGGTAGAATGCAGTATTAGCGGACATAGGGCAAGTAAGGCTAGTATGTTCCTATAAAGACACGGCGGGGTTACAATTGCACATAATGTATATACACTACGAGCTATAAATATAAACTAAGAGGTATGAGTATGCACCAATATTTGTTGTTATTTGTGTGTTGTAAGTAATGCAAATAAATTATCTATCTATCTATATGTATATACATGATGGGGCAGCAGTGGAGAATGAACTTAGATCAGGTGGATCATTGTGTCGAATTTGAGGAGAATAAATCATGATGGTTTCTAGTGAAAACCACTTGGAGGTTGATCCTCCCAATCTCTCTGATGAAGCGATTGCTATTAGGGCTACATTATATGACTATTCGTGTGTTAATTTTATGTCTTTTACGTTTAAATTATCAGTCGTTAATTTAACAGGTTAGAATTATATAACATGTTTGCCGTATTTTCACAGGAATCAATACTTGACAAAAGTGGTAAAGTAAGTTCTATTAATATTATAATATCCGATTCCTTAATCCTGTCCCGACATCCATTTTCTACGTAATCATCTATTTCTATCATCAAACAGCTTATTTATATACTGTGTTTCGGTTTGTAGGGTGTGATAATAATTATGATAATGATATATGCCTACCATGACTGTTAATAGTTAATTAAAAAACAAGAAGAGAAATAAGATAAACAAATAAAATCTATTCTCGGCTTATTTTTTTTAAATTTAATTGTTTTGTAGTGTAGTTCTTATTAATCAATTATTATTAAATTGTTTAGTTTTTAAATATGTATTAAGTTTGTAAAATTAAATTTCTCAACAGCTCGATCCAACACAAACCCGTATCTTTGCTTTTTCGTGCCGAGTCCTTTTTTGTCGGGAGGAAAATTTTTTCAATGAACATAGTATATTTTAAGATTCCTGCTATTGTTATTATAAAAATTTACAGTATTTTATTTGCATTGCAGTGGGATGAATTTATAAGAGAAACAGACAGATTGAAGGTATCTAAAAATTAATTAAAAATTAATAAACCAACTTTCAAAATATGCTTTCATTATATATTTACAACGAATTGTTCTACTCAATTTAAATAAAATGTACTTACGTACAAGGTCGTTGTTTACAGGAGAAATATAAGGGGAAAGTTATGCCAAATGTAAGTTATATGTTTTAAATTAATTTAAAATTATTTGTAAAAAGCAGCACATATATGTACATGACGGGAATTTAATGAACTTACTTAAACTTAAAAAAATGATCATAAATTTTAAAATAATACAATATAGGAATTTATATTTCTTTTGATACTTTGTGACTATGTATACTTTAAATGCCTTTTTAGTTGTTCAACGTATTTTTTCTGAGATCTCATTAAATATGAGATATGTCATAGAATACAGGTCACATAAGAAGTTACAGTTGCAGCGTAAATTCTGATATTTGAGGTGATATTTGGCCTTCTAACTTGTCATGACACATGTAGTCTGTATTGATGTTGTTAAATGTTTTGTTGTAAAGCTGTGTTTTATTATCTAATAAATAAATAAATATTCGTGATCCTCCTATAAATTCAGTAATTTTTTTCGGAGTTTATTTATTAAAAAAAAATATTTGATACCATACTTTAGAACGTATTAATTGTGAATGAACTTCAAACCCAAACTATAGAATTAACATAAAACAGATCAGTCATGAACCAACTTAAGACGTAAAATATATTTAGACTTACGTTTTGCGTTTTGGGTTCATGACATCGAATGCACTCTTGGAAAAGTGAATGTATTAATTTCGGTAAATTCTTTATGCTATCTTTATTAATTAATTTATTTATTTATTCATTAGTACAAATATGTATACATGGCGGACTTAATGCTAAAAGCATTCTGTCCCAGTCAACCATAGGGAAGTGTTAGAATACTCAAATGCGGTACTAGTCATTATTGATATACATACATACTAAAATTACATATATAAACGAATAAATATATATGAATAACAAATATACCTACACATATATGACATATACTATATTATACACGAAATTGAGAATAATATAAAGCACTTACTGCTCGGATAAAGTAAAAAAGTGAGCGTGAACGTTTTTTTTTTTTTGAAAGACGGTTTAGTCGGTAGTCCCTTAATGGCATCAGAAAGCGCGTTCCAGAGTCGTGAAGAATGTAGGAGAAAAGAGTTTGAAGCGTAACCAGTACGGTGAGAGGGGAAAGATAATTGGAGAGTATTATTGGAACGAAGGTTACGATCGTGAGTTTCAAAAAGATACTGGAATTTACTGCTTAATTTATTTCAGACATAAGTTCATAATAATATGTATAATAAAATAATTTATAACAGTTATTTAATGTTCCTTTTTTCAGTGGAAGGAAGATGTCCAAAGGTGGAAAGTAAGTTTTATATTATATATTAATTTTCGATGAATATATTATAAATATTTATTTCCGTGATCAGCTTCCATTATGAGGACGAATGTGTTTTTTTTTATAAAAATATTTTTTTTAGCGTTGGTTCGAGAATTTAAAACGCGAGAATGTATGTATCTATTTAAATATTTTATTTTTATATTGTTTTTTTATTTAGGAATATCTAATTTATTTTGAATGTTTCATAAATCTGGTTAGGAAAGAAAAGATAGGGAAAAAGTAAGTACGTTTGTATATTTTGGTTATGTTTTTTTAACCTCAAAAATAAAGATGGGAATTTTTTAATAAAATATGGTTATTTAAATATCAAAAATAAGAAGTAAATCTTAAATGTTTCATTGTTTTCAATATCAGGAGATGCAAGAAAAAGAAGAGGTAATTATATATGATAAAAAGTTTCTGCTATTTGTAAAATAGTTACTTCATAAAATTAAAAATAAATACTTTTTTAATAGATTATGCAAGAGGATAAAAATAAATTAATCAGAACACCATCTCTAGGGGTAACTTTTTTTTATAATTACGAAATCTTATTATTTTTTTTTTATACTACTATAGTGGCAAACAAGAATACCCCGTGCTGTAGTCAATAGGGAAAGGATCAGCAGGGAGATCATTCCACAACCTGAGTGTTCGTAGGAGAAAACTCCTCTAAAATCGCACTGTACGTGACCATTCTGGTTGTAAGGTGTAGGATGGATTCCCGGCCGATGGCGAGCAGTACGATGGTGAAAGGTGACTATAGGCATAATACTGAAGACTTCTTCAGAATACAATTCTTTATATAATTATATTTAATGGTATAAATAAATTAATAATGCAACCTTCAAGATAAGAGCATATTTTTTTTAAAAGCACACCTGCCGTTACCCTGGGTTGCAGGTGCTCATGGGTTTACACGTGCTTACAGTCACTTACACGTAAGTGACAACCGCCGTATGTTGTTTTACACCATAAGAAAAAAATATAAATTAGAGTAATTTGTAAATATTTAAGACTACCGTTTACACGCGACTTTGTTCACTGATTGCAATGTATTGACTGACCCAGTTTCTCCATTCCATATAGTATCTGCATACCAAATTTAATCAGAATCAGTAGTTAAGTTTTTAAATTAAAACAACTGGCTTTATCACAATTTAAGTTAGTTTTTTGTGGGACATAAACTTTAATTATTAATTTAAAATGTATCTCGATTTAATTAATAGTTACCAGAGGAAGACTTTGTACAAAAGTCAATTGCTTGGATACATCTGTCCCATTCGTGTTTCAACCGTGAAACAGTTATGTTTGCATGGCTGTGTTTCGGTTTGAAGGGTGGGATATGGCGTGAATTTACTGGGTACAGAGGAATAACACCTGAGTCCTCAGGAATGGCAACGCATGGAAGCTATCATGGGCGAAACAGTATACTCTTTTATGTCCACGGTACTGCTCATGTCTATAGGCGACGGTTACCACTTTCCATCAGGTGAGCCGTCAGCTTGTTTACCCTTCTAAGTTGTATAAAAAAAAAGTTTTCTGTATATAGCATCATCATCATATCAGTCTTTACTGATACGTACAAACCTCTCTCTTGGGGGGTTTTGGCAGTTGCCACGCTTGACAAGCGAATTGGCAACCACAGTTAGACTTTAGAGATTTAAGAGGGACACTGCTGCCCATCCCTCGCCCTCCATTATTTGTCTCTTACGATACCCAAGGGAAAGGAAGGGGTGGCCTATTCTATGCCGGGATCACATGGCTGATATATACATAACGATATTATTTAATAAATTAGAAAGTTTTTATAGGGTTATTAACATTTTTCAGATGGAAATGTATTGGCCAGAGGAAGAGACAGTAAGCATTATATCTTTACAAATGTTGATTTGTACAGATTTTGGTAATATATATAATCGACAGTCCTTTTTTCCATGTGTTGTAATTGTAAATGTGTATATGTGTATGTATGTGTGTAGGTCCCATATTGTTTTTGTCACGATTACTGACATTGGCCAAATTTGATTAAAACAGCTAAACTCGACTAGCTTGCTTAAATTGATTAAATTTAGCCAGCCTAATTTGCTCAAACTTGACTAAATCTGACCAAACTACCAAATTTTGTCATTTTTTTTATACAACTTAGAATGGCAAACAAGCTGACGGCCCACCTGATGGAAAGTGGTAACCGTCGCCTATAGACATGAGCAGCATCATGGATATAAAAGAGTATACTGTTTCGTCCATGATACCCCCATACGTTGCCATTCCTGAGGACTCAGGTGTTATTCCTTCGTACCCATTAAATTCACGCCATATCCCATCCTTCAAACCGAAACACAGCCATGCAAACACAACTGCTTCACGGTTGAAACACGAATGGGACAGAGGTATCCAAGCAATCGACTTTTGTACAAAGTTTCCCTCTGGGTTTTTGTGGAATGATAGTTTGTATTTATTTACAGAAAAATAATAATGATAAACCAGCCATACCTACACCTCATAGGCAGGAATATGTAAGTACCAATTTATATACTTATATATATATAGGATTTATACAGGATGGAAGGTACAGGTTGGTGAAAACGTAAACAGCCGATTCAGTTGAATCATCTGAACCAGATGGCAAATTATTTTCCCACCAGAAATACATCACAGCTATATAATTAACGTTTCTTAGTTTTGACGCCGCGCAATGTATATGAAGTTTTACGATCCACAGCGCGCGCGGTCGCGCTTGGCGCTTCTTTGTAGGTCGTTTTCGTAAGATTGCTTTGTCTGACGTTGAGCTTACACAACTTACCAGAGGGAGACTTTGTATAAAAGTCGATTGCTATTATATAATATATATATATATATATATATATATATATATATATATATAATGTATATATATATATGTATGTATGTATGTATATATTTGGATGTACGTGTTTATTTATGTATGTGTATGTGTATATGACTATGCTGTCACAGATATTTATTATTTTTACAGATCAATTTTTTTTAACGCGCCACCTACCTATTTATGCTTTAATTCCTTCTACCCAAAGGTTGTCTGGAAGAGATTGCTTAGCAATAAGACCGCCTTTTGTACTACACTATACGTATTGAAAATTGTTCAACAAATCCTGTAATGTTGATGTAATAAATTGTTAAATAAATAAATAAATTAAATAAACTTCTGTGTGAAAACAGATTGTAAGAATCTATATATTGTGACGATTACATTATGTTTCTACCGTGAAGCAGTTGTGTTTGCATGGCTGTGTATCGGTTTGAAGGGCGGGATATGGCTGTGAATTTACAGGGTACAGAGGCATAACACCTGAGTCCTCAGGAATGGCAACGCATGGGATGTATCATGGGCGAAACAGTATACTCTGTTATGTCCATGGTACTGCTCATGTCTATAGGCGACGGTTACCACTTTCCATCAGGTGGGCCGTCAACTTGTTTTCTATTCTAAGTTGAATAAAAAAAAAATTTTTTTACGTAAGACTGTACATGTATGTTATGTCACAATGACCACTTTTTAAAATGTAAAAATGTCTACCTGTGCGAAACCGGGACGGGCTCTTTGTACAGAAATAAAAGTTATGAATTTGATGTAATCTGTTATTACGTAGTTGGCGGGAGATTTGTCAAATCAGAGACCAGGACAGCCAGGTTTTCCAAATGCGAACGGAGGGAGGGTGAGTCTGTTGAATATTTAAATTAAAAAAAAAGTTACCTCAAGTTTGTTCTTTTAAAAAAAAGTATAAAAAAATTTTATTTTGTATTAATTGCGTACTTGACAAACGATCGAAACAGTCGTGGTTTGAATCTCCTCCTGTCACATCGGAAGGATTTCCTTTGTCAAGATAACTTCGAGTCAAAGACACTTATCTTTAACAAAAAAAATCTTTTTTCAGATACTTGGATTTCCTTTTAAAAATGGCCAGGTGCCATTTCCGAGGGGTGTAAGTTGTAATTTACATTCTTATAATCAGAAATCTTAATGCATAAAGGAGACTATGGTGTCACAGTATATTCTGTGATGTTTACGGTGATATAAAAGTAACGGTTATCACTCTTAATCAGTGAAGCCGTCAGCTTTGTCTTTTCCATAAAAAAAAAAAACCTTCCTTTTATTTTCTGAGGGACAAAGATAGGCTCCGTAAAACGGACTTCCTATGCTGATCTTGTGTGGCAAGTTCCAAGTCTTTACGAATTCATACAGTAGTTATGCATGGGTTGGGGGAAAAGGAATTGTTAGTAATGGAGACTAAGAATCCCATTGCTAGCAATATACCTAATCAGGTTGACCTCCACTCGGTTTCCCTTGGAAAGTATCACGGTTAATTCCTGATGAATTCATCATGATGGGCTAACTGGCCTGTTTTCATTCTCATCTATCACCCTTCACTGGTGCTCCGCCAGCGTATACCGTTAGTGCAGGCGGGGTTACCATTCCATTTTCATCTATCAAAAAAGTGAAAACTGATCACGATAGAATCCAGAAGGGGGAGGGAGAGGGGACGGCATGGTGGTTATGACTGGGTATCTTCCATACAAAAATGTACTTTTGAATACAAATGTTTTTACTGTACGGGAATCGAATCTGAAGTCATCAGAAAGTGAGGTAGTGTGTTAACATTTTTTAATTATTTAAATAATATATTCAAGTTTTGAACAAGTTGTACTCTAAGGGTATTTACTTATTTATTAAATAAAAAAAAATGATTTGTCAGACTGGTGGAAATCCGAATGATCACTCATGGCCTTCGTTTGGACAAAATTACGTGAGTATAAAATAATAATTAGTCATTTAAACAATTAAGCAAGTTAAATGCGGCATGGGATAAAAGGGGCGAGCTTACCTCTGTCGCTCAAGTTAATTTCTACAAATCGCAAATTCAGCCTCACATGGAATATTGCTGTCACTTATGGGGGGGGGGGGGGGAAGGAATTGTTAGTAATGGGAGGCTAGTCCCCATTGTTATCAATATACCCTATCAGGTCGACCTCCACGCGGTTCCCCCTGGAAACTATCGTGACAAATTTATCATTGAATTCGTCACGATGGGTTAACTGACCTGCCTTTTCATCCTTACCTATCACCTCTCACTGGTGCCCCGCCAGTGTATACTGATAGTGCAAGCGGGGTTACCATGCCATTTTCATGCATTAAAAAATACCAGCTTCAACCCTTTGACTCGGCATTGGGTTCTTCAAAAGGGGGGTAAAGAGATTTCTTCAGGGTCGGCAACGCGCGCGTAGTACCGGTGGTATTGCAGGCGTTCATAGACTACGGTAACCGCTTACCATCAGGTGGGCCGTATGCTTGATTGCCACCTGCGGTATAAAGAAAATTTAGTTTGTTAATGATGCTTTCAATCGCATGTGTGTTAGTCGAAAATTAAAATTTATGTAGGTATATTAATTATTTAGTTAGTTTGTACTCGTACATTGTTTTAAATCATTCAATTAAGTCAGTCAAAATATGTGGCAACACTTTCCAAATCTCACACTCAAAAGGTGGGTCGTCACTTTGTCATTAGCAGTAGCATATAAAAAAATAAACTTATTGTTTATGGAAGATTGGCCATGTTTAACGATAGCACAATTCACGTATTCAATCATTCGAAATATGAATAAAAAAGGCGCGAATCAAACGCTTGTTTCCCGCCTTTATTGGTAAAAAAATAAAAACTTTTCTTTTAAACTTTTACTTAGATGCTGCATCAGAATGTTTACGACCAGTCTAGAATACCGCCGCCACCGGTATGTACTTAGTAATTTCTTTTAAGGGATAAACAAAATTGTATAAAAATAGTGTATTATTTGTCTATCTGTGACTAGCTGTGTGTGTATTCTGTTTGCATGCACTCACCCTTGACTATGGCATTGAAATTATAGGATCAAATTTTAAATAATAAAAATGATAATTTAAAAAAGGAGCGTCTGATGTATCGTTAAAAAAGTCATGTTTATACATACCTTTAGGTTGTAATTTCAGCTGAAAGTGCTGTTTATTTAAATTCATGTTTCATCTTTATTTAAAAATGATTAAAACTGGCTTTATACATCAAGGCATAAAGTTAAAGCCGTTATACTATAACCCACGTTAGAGTCCTTTATATATAACAAAGACGATATAAAAACAAGGCTGGATACCAGAGGGCGCCACTTTTACACGTGTAGCGGCATTTTAATTTATTTAATAATAAGTAACCTAATGGAAGGTGGTAACCGTGCTATCGGTATACACCGGTGGGGCACCAGTGGAAGATGATAGGTGAGGATGAAGTAGGTCAGTTAGCCCATCGTGACGAATTCAACATGAATTGTTCACGATGATTTTCAGGGGGAACCACGTGGAGGTCGACCTAATATATATTAGGTCGACGGATTGCCAGGGCATATTGCTAGCAATGGGGCTGTCAAACTCCATTGATAACAATCCTTTTTCTCCCAAATTTTGCTTTTTAGGCATGAATGAGACATGAACAGTAAAATAACACGAAAAGTAGGATGTGCAGATACTGCCGGTAGTCCCTATGGACTGCCATTTTTGTGGATTAAAGTTCAATATGCTTCCGTATCCTGTAATTTTATTGTACACCATATCTCAACCATAAAAACAAACACAGCCATGTAAGCAAAGTTGTTTAGTGGCAGATACAAAGAAAGCTATATATGTAATTCGTTTATGTATGTAATTTTAGTATATATGTATATCAATAATTAGTAGTACCGCATTCGAGTATTCTGACACTTCCCTATGGTTGATTGAGAGAGAATGCTTTTAGCATTAAGTCCGCCATGTACACATATTTGTACTAATGAATAAATAAAATAAAACGCAGAGGGAAACCCCCTCTCTCAAAAAATAGGCGAAAAAGAGTTAATAGGGTCTCTGTTTAGTAATCATTCACGCTGACTCTTTCGTTCGAGCTCTCTCGCTCCCGCCACTCAGCACGTATAATACGTCGTCACTTTATATATAGTTTAAAATAATAAATAATCATTATTACTAAGGGCCTTTGGACTTTACATCCACTAAAACCTGCATACCATAGTAAGGTATAAAAATACTATACAGTCTCAATTACGGCTGAGGCATAAATTGGGAGGTAAAGTTGACACAGATATACTGTGTCGACCTCAAATATTTATTGGAACAAGGGTAAGGTGATTAATTCTTCTTTTGCAGCCTGAAAATGCAACCGTAAATCTACCATTATTGGTAAGAATTCAAATAGATATAAAATCAGTAAAAAAAAAACTTCTATCTAAATATTTTCTTAATATAATGTATAAATACATATAATAAAATCGTAACTGGTCACTGTCTGTACATAGAAAATATATAAGAAAAACTATTATAGGAGGGCTTTATGAACGCAATAAAAGCTAAGACAATGATTTTTAGGATTTTTGTCTGTTTGTCTGTACTGTTTGTTTGTGCACGTTAATCTCGAAAACTGTTTATTCGATTTGCATGCAGTTTAAACTAATGCATTGCGGTTTCCTCCACTTAACATTTAGTGTTTGTTTTATTTCAATCGGTTCATAAATAAAAAAAGTTATACGAATCTAAAGAATGTCCATCCGTACGAGGCCGGAGCGGATTGCCAGTAAATAAATAAATATTTTATTTGTCTTATAAATTATGTTATAAATAAATTTATTAAATTTCAGGACGATTTTGGAAGTCCAATAAAATGGGTTGCATTCAATTCGGTAATTAATTTTTTTTATTCTATAATTTGTTGTATTTTCAATGGAAACTTTTTTAGTTTTAATATTAGAAATTAATATATTTTGCTCAACCAAAAAAAAAAAAAAAACAAAAATAGTGAATTCTAAAGAATTAGTACTTATTTCATGTAACATGTATGATGACAACGGGGTCGATTCTGAGGCATGAATTTTTTAAACCAATTTCTAATATTAAAATTTCAATTAGATATCACAACGATACAGCAATTTTCGAGGTTTTCCTAGAGACTAGAACATACTTCAAAAAAAGGACAAACAGGTTCTTACAGGGTCGGCAACGTGCGCGTAATACCTCTGGTATTGCAGGCGTTCATAGGGTACGGTAACCGCTTACCATCAAGTGAGCCGTATGCCAAATTGCCACCTCAGTGGTATAAAAAAAGCGAAATATTTATTATAAGCACAATATGAGTTAAATTTAATTTAAATTAATTTCAATAATAGTTTTCAAGATTTAATTGAAATAATATATATATATATATATATATATATATATATATATATATATATATATATATATATAATGTAATAATAGATCTAATTGTATGTTGTATAGAACGAAACTTCGGATGGATTGGCGAAACTTACGGTAAATAATTATTTTTTATAACATTGTTGCCGCCGTGTGATCCCGGCATAGAATAGGCCACCCGATCCTTTCCCGTGGGTGTCGTAAGAGGCGACTAAGGAAACTTAAGGGTAGAGGGATTGGCAGCAGCGTTTCGCTTACAGTATCACTAAAAGCCTAACAGCGGTTTTTTTTTATAGAGTGATAATGGAATGGTAACCCCGCCTGCGTTATCGGGATACGTTGGCTAGACACCAGTGACAGATGAGCGGTGAGGATGAAAAAGCAGGTCAGTTAGCCCATCGTGACAATTGCACTAGAATTAACCACGACGGTTCCCAGGGGGAACCGCGTGGAGGTCGACATGATAGAGTGTATTTCTAGCAATGGGTCTATTAGGTCTCATTACTAACAATCCCCTTCCCCCCGCCTAACAGCGGTTACCAACTTGCTTACCAAGCGTGGCAACTACTGGCAAAACTCCCCTTATGGAAAAGGTTTATGTTCAGCAGTGGACTGGCTGGTATGATGATGATAACATTTTTTTTTTTAAGTAAGTAATAAGTGGTTAGAGAAAAGTAAATTGAAAGACAATGTAGTGACATAGATCGAAAAGGGAATGTTACATTGGTTTGGTTATTTGAAGAGCATGGATGAAAGAAGATTTTTTTTATACAACTTAGAATGGCAAACAAGCTGACGGCCCACCTGATGGAAAGTGGTAACCGTCGCCTATAGACATGAGCAGTACCATGGACATAACAGAGTATACTGTTTCGCCCATGATACCCCCCATGCGTTGCCATTCCTGAGGACTCAGGTGTTATTCCTCTGTAACTAGTTTTACAAAAGAGATTTATCGGGCACGAATGAATGGAGATGTCGGTAAGGGTATTGCCTTAGACGGATATATGTCGACCAAATAGGCAACACGCTGAAGAAGGGTCAAATAAAATGTACCCGTAACCGGCGAGCGTGCGTGAATAGATTGATGAATGTGGAGGAAGCGAAAGAGGTCGGTTTGAATCGAAGCATTTGGCGTTCCATTGTTTCTGTCTAATTCAATGGGGGACAGACGTGATTTATATTGTTTTTTTTTTTTATATTCGACAATGCCAAGAGTAATAAGATAAAAAAAAAATTGCTGATGATTTAAATTGGTCTAAAGTTTTTTGTCAATCTATTTTTTGTAGGTATTGATTATTTTTTAATGATCAATTTAAAATTGATAAAAAATATGTATATATTGGTCAAAATAGTTTACGAAATGTGCTAATTATTTATATAAAAGTAATAAAGTTTACGTAAATCTATCATAACCTTCAAGAAAAGAGCATATTCCTTTTTAAAAGACCGGCAGTACATCTGCAATGCCGTTGGTGTTGTGGATGGTCATGGGCGGCGATATTCACTTACCATCAGGTGAGTCGCATGCTCGTTTGCCTCCTGTGTTGTAAAAAATATCCAAAATTCCAAGTAAGCACTATTGAAAGTAATAGATAGATAGATAGATATTTTATTTACATTACTTACAGCATATAAATTACAATAAAAAAAAATACACATAATACACAGGAAAAGAGATAAAAGAATGAAAATAAAAAAACACAAATAAAAAAAAAAAAACAAGAAACAAAATATATAAACTAACAATCCCCTTTCTTTTCCTTCCTTCATGCGTGTGCCATAGTAACACAAAATGGTCATACGTTACAAGTTCTTGATATTTTTTGTTACTTTTTGAGTTTGTATGTTTAAGTTTTTGTATATTATATGTATTTTTTTACTTATACATGTGCTCGTACCGGCGAGCATGTTTGAAAAGGATGATGAATGTGGAGGAAGCGAAAGAGGTTTGTTTGAATCGAAGCATTTGGCGTTCCATTGTTTCTGCCTACCCTAATGGGAGACAGGCGTGACAGATATGTATGTATGTATGTATGTATGTACTCGTAAATGAAACTCTTAACATAACAATATTATGTAAGAAATTCGACTAAAAAACTCCCAAAAATGTCCTGAAATGTTTCAGTGGAAAGTTTTGCTTTGATATATAGAGAATATTAAAATACTTTACTAAATACTTTTTCTTCATCAAACTTTACGATCCTTATATTTCATTAAACACAGGATCCAGTAACTGGAAAAAATCGCCAAATTATTCTAAATGTAAGTTTTTGGTATCAAATATGTTTTAGTATTTTTTTTAGTAGCTGTATTTACTAGTTTTTCAGGCGTTATTTAGGACAAACATTATAATATTAATGATGGCCGTGTGGTCCCGGCATAGAATAAGCCACCCCTTCTTACTCCGTGCGTGGTGCGTGTCGTAAGAGTCGACTAAGAAAGGGCGAAGAATGGACAGCAGCGTCCCTCTTAAAACATTTCTAAAGCCTTACTGCGGTTGCTATTCCGCCTGCCAAGCATGGCGACTACTGGCAAAACCCCCCAAGGGGGAGACTTATGTTTAAGAGCGGACACTTAAAGGCTGATATGACGATGATGATTATAATTGATATCTTCAACTCACGTCTAAACACCTTCAAAAGCATTTTACAATCAGCCATCAAGTCTCTTTGACATGTCCATAGTTTTATGTATTTTTATTATTTGCATGTACTTCATTGTTATTTACCAAATGCATATGCTTTCTCCATTCTATATAGTCCTTCTCCATTCCATATAGTACGTGTATACCAAATTTTATAGTTATTGTAGAAGCCCTTAAGGAGCTATAAGGTAACAAACAAACTCACTTTCATATTTATAATATTAGAAAGGATTGTTTTAATTTTGTTTTAAAATACTTCTTATTCTGTACGATCAGTAAGTTCTAGTTAAAATTAATAATATACATCGAGCACCGACGTATTTATTTCCAGGGCACCATTTTTCTACCAGTCATAGATTACAATCTAGAACGGCTTGGTTTAACTGTAAGTATTTAACTGCGCGGTTTCAGAGATGTTTCCTCCCACGAATACTCAGGTTGTGGAATGAGCTCCCTGCCGAGGTTTTCCCAAGAGACTACAGCATGGGGTTCTTCTAAAGGGGGGTAAAGAGGTTTCTTTAGGGTCGGCAACGCACGCGTAATACCTCTGGTATTGCAGGTGTTCATAGGCTACGGTAACCACTAGCCATCAGGTGGGCCGTATACTCGTTTGCCACCTTAGTGGTATAAAAAAAAAGTATTGCTTCTTTAATGTAATACTTCTATATATATAAAAATATATTGAATAAAAGTAAAAAAAAACTTATGGATAAATAAAAGAGGAATACAGACGGACAATTTACGTTTACTGTACCTAATCATTAACTGTATTTTGGCTTAAATTAGTATGGGACCAATATACGATTAAATACTTGATAAAAAAAAGTAAGATAGAAGCAAGGAGGGGAAGAGGGAGACCAAGGCATAGTTACATCAGGCAGGTCAAGGAAGTAATTGGTATCAAGAGTTGAAGAGACTATATAGTTGTATACCCCTTGTGTTAAAAAAAATATGAAATTTAAGTTAAATTTAAGCATTTTTTTCATTATTTCTGTCATCTTTCTTTCTAGTAAGGATATCCAGAGGGAGACTTTGTGCGAACGTCGTTTACTTGGCTACCTCCTGTCCCATTCGCGTTTCTACCGTGAAGCAGTTGTATTTGCATGGCTGTGTTTCGGTTTGAAAGGTGGCAGTAAGGCAGCTGGAAACAGTGAATTTAAAGGGCACAGACGCATAACACCTCAGTCCTCAGGAATGGCAACACACACATGGGCGATACAGTATATCCTTCTATGTCCATGGTACTAACTACTTATGTTTATAGGCGACAGTTACCGTTTTCCATCAGGTTGCCCGTTAGCTTGTTTACCATTCTAAGTTGCATAAAAAATTTAGTAAATTAAGATGACTTATCTGTCTTGTTTGGAATTAAATTATTTATTTTTAACTTTTTTATTTTCAGTGTTTCGGTGAAGGATGTCAAGGAAGAGTGAGTGTGATTTTTTTTTCAACTGTTTCTAAATTCTCTGTAAAGATAATGGATATTGCTTAATCACATTTAATCACATAACTGAACGAATTTGAAGAAAACTTGGTACACAAGGAGATTATGTATTGTATACACGTTCAAAGTACACTATAATTTTTATTTATGCATGTAAAGACGCGGAATGTAACAGGTCTTCCACTGTGCGTTTTTCAAGGCACTTTCTTCCACGCACAACCACTCTTTGGAATCAACTTCCAGCAGCAGTATTTCCGAACCGATACGACAACATAACCTTCAAGAAAAGAGTATATTCCTTTTTAAAAGGCCGGCAGCACACCTGCAATGCCACTGGTGTTGTGGGTGATCATGGGCGGCGGTAGTCACTTACCATAAGGTGAGCCGCTTGCTCGTTTGCCTCCTGTGTTGTAAAAAAAAAAGTTAAAAGTATTTATAGCTGTGTAGGTCCTAGCATAGAATAGGCCATTTCTTTCTTTACCATGGGTGTCGAAAGAGGCGACTAAGGGAGCTTATAGTGCAGGAATGGGCAATGGTGTCTCTCTAAAACATTACCAAAAGCCTAAATGATGTTGCCAACCCGCTTGCTAAGCTTGGCAACTGTTGTTAAAACCATAATAATAAAAATTATATATAGTAACTATAAATAAACGTCACGATTACACAACAATTCTTATATTTTTTTGTATATTTATATAATAGGTATACGTTATTATTTCCAGTGTTACGTTTTGGGATGTGAAAGCAGGGTATGTACTTATTTTTTTATTTATTTATTACATAGTTATAAAATGTTTATACATACATAACACGGATATAACGGGGGGGGGGGGGGAACTATTAGTAATACTGGTAATGCAGAGTACTAATCCTTTTGCTAGAATAAGCAATGCCAATGCCAATCGGGTCGACCTCCATGTAGTCCCCCTGCCAGCCATGATGCTGAATTCCATGTCTATTCATCATGATGAGCTAACTGAGCTGCCTTTTCATTCTCACCTATCATTGCTTATTGGTATTTCGCCAGTATATACCGTTGGTGCAGGC